CACCTTCTGCCTGCTTCTCTTCATTGGTTGTAAAGAAAGCTGGCTCAGATGAACCCACCCCTACAAAATTCAGTGGCTATTAGAGCATCTTCTACTTTACTGTGCTGTCCTGCGCTTTATTCTAACTTATTTGGAGAAAGTAAACGGGAAAAACGTTCCTTGGCATGGAGAACATTTACAAGAAAATGAAATTGCTTATCCTAAGATGAACTTTACAGACATGTCCAAAAACTATTCCCCCCAAAATAGAAAAAATGTTCAGTTGAATTACATAAAGCAGATAAATTTAATAGTGTTTTTACTCAGTGGAATGGAGTCCCGTAGGATTCAAAGAAAAGGGAACGTAAAAGATATATTGAGTTCAAATTGTTCTTGACACAAAGTAATGCAGAACATAGAATCAGAATCCAGGCTTTCCCTTGGGAACATTGGTCTGACTGCAATTTCCCAATAATACTTCTAGTCCAGAATCATTCCCATAAACTTCATAGCGTGTGCCATCTCGTGGCTATAGTGGCCATGTTTCATTAGAGTCTATTAATCAGTTGCTTCTGTGTTCTAAATTTATGAAAGTATAAAAGGTGTTGTGTCTAGGGCAGGAATAAGGGGAGGCAAGTAGTGTAGGATTAGTGCAATTCATTCTGAATAGAAGATGGGCAAATTTGGAAAAAGTGAACAAAGGCAGCGCAGACTAAACATGGATATAAATTTAATACACTTGGCACCAGCCATCTTACATATTTCCTAAACAAATACCTCCCAGTCAAGACAAAAAATTAGGGATAATATACAGTCTCTCTCTCTAGATCTGGTAAGCCTGGACCTTTCAAAGGATTATTAACGTCCTAGAAAATGCAACGCATAGACGAAAAAATGGTATGATAACACAAACAGTACTGTTTCAGAAATAATGAGCTTTTTGAATTATGAATAATTACATAAGAAAAAGAGATCAAAGGACAAGAGATTTGTTCTTATCCATTCAGAGTAGAAGGCAAATGTGAAACATTTCACCACACGTGACAGGTTTTCTTATCTGGTGGGAACTGATTGGGCTGCGTTCAGAACATCAGAGTAGATGCCAGAGCACATTTCCTGGGTCTTTCAGTCTTGTCCATGCTAGCACAGGCAATAGTCCTACTTTCCCGTCATTTACAGTTCACATACCTACCAGCCTATGTTTTAAAACCAGGAAGGGTGAAATTCAACTTGCAGATCAAAATTCTTAAAGTTACATGTTTACTTGAGAGGTGTCTAATCACTAGTATGTGGAAACAGAGCTTGATGTGGTTGGCAGACGTAGGTATCCAGTGCCGTTTGAAGTGCCACTGCCATTCCAGGGAAGCGGTCCTTTACCACGTCTGCCATGCAGATGTCTAAGGCATCCCAAGTAGCGCTAGGTGACTACATGCAGACAAGTAGGTTCAGTTTGTTAATTAGGCCAGCGGAGTTGTGCTCACCAAAGGGAGATATCCCCTTAAGGGTGAACTGAATGTCTCTCTTGACTACAGTTTCTCAGATCTTGATTCTGTAATCAGTATCTCTGGCTGCAGAAAGAAGGGAGCTAATAGGGATGTTGCTTTGGAAGTCAAAAAGATTGGGTAAACTTGATGATAATGTCAAATGTTGTAGTTGGAATCTTGTGATGAGAACAGATCTCTGTCCTCTCAGTTGGTAAAAAAGATTGCCCAAAAAACTCTGCTGTTCTCATCCCATGTACAGATCTGAAATCAACTGGTGCTTGACCCAGCATATTCGTTTCAATGCAATGAGTCTGTAACGTCACTTTATTTGATACTGGGTTGGTTATTGCTTAGATGCTTTATAGCTAGAATGTTGTTACTCTGTATTTGGGTTTCCTTCATGTATTTGAGTGGAGAAAATGAATATCAGTGAGTAGAAGTATTGTCTCCTGATCAATAAAATGCATACTTTGGACTGACTGTGATTTAAAACATTTAAGACATTAAATGTTAAGGACACAGTGTCGATATAGCTTACCCGAATTTACTTACCTCATTAAATGAGATAGTAAGATATACAATAAGTATCCATTTGTGCATGCTATATAACCTGGATTAGTCACTCAGAATGATTAGATTTTCATTCATATACACAGTAGAGTTTTTGAAATCCACTCCATGCAGTGGATACAGAAACCAGTTGGGGGAATTAATAGTAAAGGATGTTATGACTCATTTTTGAGAAATTAATGCTATATTCAGTATCAGGTAGAAGCCAAGTACTTGAGTAATGAGTTCTCGAAAATGTCAAACAAACACGTTTAAGAATAGCTACTTTCTTTTGTTGAAAGGAAATGTGCAAGTTCGAATTACTTCTTATACTTGATGGACTCTGATCTCTCTTGAAAATATGGCATAGGTACTCACACTAACAACAGACCTACATCAACAAAATTGCTAGTTTACAAGTTTAATCATGATTCTAATAACAACTTTATTATAAGCAAGCTTATTTTATTAATTCAAATATTTGTATGCATCCCTGCATCAGAATAACTATGTTTCTAGAACTGCCAGCTTCCTAATATTTACCGTATACCATGAGCGTGCAAAGTTCTTTACAAGGTCTACAGAAAGAGGGATTCATGGCAGATGTCAACAGAGAGAAAGTGAGCACAAGAAAGTTTTGAAAGAAGTAAGGAAGAGAAGTGAGGTGAGGATATCTAATGGGTAGGTGGAGGGCGGTAGTCTTAAGTCTATAGTATAGAGACCATGTGAGTTACAGAAAAGCATACAGTTTAATCAGTTCAGTCATTCATTAATACTAAACGTGTAAGTTCGTATGTGCCAGATTCACCTACTTGCTGTCTTGGAGTTATTTCTGCTTAACCAGGCAAACCTAAGACTCTTTCTTTGGAGCAGTTCTTATAACCAACTCATATCACATTTTGACCACTCAGTAGCAGAGAGAGACCTTACAGCTGCTTTAACTTTTTCTAGCATAGTGAGAAACCAGTCTTTGACTATTCTTGGGAGGGAAGAAATCATTTCTGCCAGGGTCTGTGAAAGGATCAGGACACAATTTACGTCAGACCTACTGCTTTGCCTACTTTTGAGGGCTATTAACAAATGCAAATTACAGGAGTCCAGGGTTTCCTTTAACATGTCAGGATTTGTTAAGCTACTTTGTAATTCCCGGGACAAGAAAATGAGAGTAGTGTAAAGTTGTCCCTGTGTCCAGTCTTACCAGCTGCTGCGTGCATGGCTTTAGTGTACCTGTAGAGACTTCTGCCTCTGCTCTGCAGTATCATAATGATTTGTGTTTTTATTTGGACAGCACTGTTGTTACTAAAAGGACGTAATCACGTTTTTCTGTGAAAGTGAAAAAGAAACCTTCCACTCAGTATTTAAACTAAGCAGATCTATTGCTGTCGCAGCTTACTTTGCAAATGACATTTATTTCCCTCAAATTTACAGTGTTTACGTGGTGGGTGTTAAGAACTCTTGATTTAGAGGCGCTTCAAACTTGCACTCGGTAGAAATGTTTTTTAACGTGGTCTGCAAATGCCAACAAAATGACAACTAATAAACCTGTTGTGGAACTGTTGTGCCTTAGTTACAAGTTTCACAGGAGCTGCTTTATTTGCAAGTCCTGATGTGCACAAGGTCAGGAAATAAAATTCTCCTTCTTCCGGAATACTGATGATAGGGACATGCGGCTGCCAGAGTGTTAAGCCATTAAGTGTTAAGCAATATCCTCTTTCCATGATTTTGGAGAGGAGGTCAGGCGGAGTGAAAGAAGGGAGGTGCCCAATGTATTTGCAGCGTTCCTGGTGCCAAGGAAGAAGCCTGTTAAGGACTGTTGTAATTGCTGCTGAGAAATTGTTTATCACTCAATTCCCAGAAAATTGCCTGGGGACTTGCTGATGTTCCTTTTGTTATGACACAGGCCAAGTTAAAGAAGCATAGGGATGCTCTAAAGTGCTTGTCTGTAGACTTTGCTTTCAGAGCTGTCCAAAAATTGACGGAATTGGGAAATATAATTCTACCACTCTGTCAAGGAATTGAAGGGCGAATCTAAGTTAAAGAGTGCCAAGTAGAGAGAGGTGGAAAGGGTGAATAAATAAATGCATAAATTGGAAAGTAGGAGACAGACATTGCACCTGATCAAAATTTTGAAATTCTGTCTGTATAACGTGGCATATTCTACGCGGCTATTAAAACTTACCAGTTAATTCCATAAAGTAGTAAAAAACTCCATAGCTTTAATATTTTATCTAGGTTCCGTGGAAAGTAATTTCGGTCTAATAACCTCATTCTAAGCCTAAGTCAAGAAGCAGCTTAATTCTGACGCTATTTAGCATCATTTTTCTTGATGTTCTCATTCCAAATACGATTTAATGTCATAATATGTGGCTGGTAAGTTTACAGATAACTACAGTTATCCAGCAGGCCATGCTCTTTAATCTGCTTTTTCTTTGTGGAAAAAATGACTTTCCAAGCTTTAAGAAATAATTTTACTAAAGATATAAAGGGTTGTTTGGGTCAAAATTTAATAAAATATGGAATAGGAAGTTAAAGGGACTTAAACATATCTTTAGACTTAAGCTGATGTATAAATGCACGCTCAGTACACTGGAGTAGAAGGACTGAGAGATTATCTCTTTCAGAGGTAATCCATTCTTTCAAACAGGGGCTCATTCTTCCCAGTTTGATAGTATTTATGGAAGTTTATGAATCTCATACTTGCTTTCACCTCATTGACATGGAATAATATGAAATTGTATCTGCTTGTGTGTCTAAGTTGCAAGGTCCTGAGGCCGAATTTTCTACCAAGGTCAATTGACCTGAGATGTTGTAATGCAAAAATATACTAGAGTAAAGATATTACACATTCTCCCCATGTAGTGTAGACCAAGGGATGAAAATAATGCGATATGTGACTTCTAGTCTTCAGATTTAATGGAAAATTATATCATTTTGCAGTCAATTTTACATATCAGTAAGTGGCTTCTGTATATATTTTTTTCTGTGCAGGTCAACTTCTATGTAAGGGTGAAAGCAATTTATACACTCGGACACAGTGTATCTCTGATCGCTCTTACAACAGGAAGTATAATTCTTTGTCTTTTCAGGTAGGTATTTTTCATTAGTAAATAAGAACAATGATAAGACAATTTTAACAGTTATCTGATAACTGATTACTCAGATATTTAGAAAATGCATTGGTTTTGGACTTTGGTCAATTAAATAGGCAATTACAGTAATGTAATGATAACTTGATGTTTGCTAGCAACAGTTATATTAGAAAATTTCAAAGTACTTTACAAATTTACAGACATTACAACTTGTATAAAAAAGAACAGTAATTCTGGAATGGATTTAATAAATCATTTTTGACTTGACTATCAAAATCAACACCTTGGATTGCTCTTGAAAACAAGTAGGAAGCTGGTCTTAACACTGGATAAGTGGACAGCCATGTTTGCAGAAGCTTCTGAGAGGTCTCCAGGGGTAATATAGTTGAAGGTAATCATTAATTTGTCTAGGTGGGCTTGTAAAGGCATGGGTGATTGTGCTGAAATGAAGTGCTGGGTGTGCAAAGTTTTGGTTAAGCAGTGCTAGGAAAGGCACTGTTATCCATTGATATCACCCTAAGATTCCAGTAATTATCTGAGAGTGAAAGCAGGCCCTTACTGATAAAAGAATGGGCACAATGATATTATCAGTGTCATAGTTCTTCTCAGTCTCTCCAAGTTCATGCCTTTGTGTTTCCCTTCTGCCTGTCTGATAGAATATAGCCTTTATATTCTCCGTCATAATCCTCACACAACTTTCCTGTCCCACTCTCCACCGAGATCAAGAAAATGCCTCACCCAGGTTTGCTACAAAAGAAGTACATGTGAAATAGTAAGGAGCTGCATGTTGCTTGTCAGAGCATCGGTCCTCTGATGAGCTACTCCTGTGGCTTATTCTGTAAACCTTTCCGAGTGCCACTGGATTGTCTCAATAATTAAATATTCAGAGCAGATGCATGACTCATGCTTATCTTTTGGGATATCTTTGAAAAAAAATGATTGGAATGATTTATGGTAATCTTCTTTATCCCAGCAAAGATTTAAAGGCAAATCATTCATCTTCAAAACTGCTAAAACCCAATGGGCACGTCTAAGTCTGTAAGTATATCTTAGACACCTTACTGTTGTCCGTCTCCAGAAGTCAGGTGTTTGGTGAGAATAAGAAACATCTTCATTTTACTGACATCCAGCTAGTCAGTCTTATAACAAACTTCTTTATAGTTTTATAACAAGCATCTCGATAAACGTATTCTTAATAATTGTACAGAAGGTGGATTGAGAATTTCAAAGGTATGCTCAAGTACACCTTGCAACTTTAGACACCATTTAAATACCCAGGTTAAGAGCCTGATCTCCCCAAAATCCCTCTGTTGAGTCAGTGGAAAGTCAGTGGACAGGCAGACTTTTTCGAGGGGAACCGTAAGGTCCTCCAAGTCTCCTTTTGGAAGAGCCTGTGTTAACTATACAGTTAGGGGCAGTTTAGGGGCATTACCCTCCTAACATAGTAAGCTAAATTAGGAGCCCAAATTGGTTTTCGAATACCCTGGTCGGTGTACAGTTTCCCAAGCAGGTAACAAGGACGCTTATGGTGGAAGGCTGCAGCTGAAACGGTGATAGTGTATCAACAGCAGAAGTGAATAGAAATGTTATGTGTGTGTGTGTGTGTGTCTGACACATTGTAGGGCATCCCATACATTTCCATAGAGTTTGGAAAATAGGGATGTGTCTGCAAGGTCTAACTTTCCCCTGTTCAGCTGGTAACACGTCCCGTTGTAAGCACGGTTTACCCTGATAGGTCCCAAGGTTCTTTATAGGCAGTGCCAATATACTCTTTGTAAAGAGCACTCGTTCACCCCGGAAATGCACTCTCCTTTGAATGTAGCCATCACACTTTCATCCTCTTGTGTTTAAAGAGGAGAGCAAGGAATAACTTCTCTAAATGAAACTAAGGGAGTTTTTGATAGGTAGTGAGTTAAAAACTAGAAGTTACTAAAGCAATAGGGAAGTCAAAATCCTGACTTCATCTAGCAGAATTAGGATTTGAATGCTGAATAGAAGTAAAATAAGAGATGATTAAAATTGTACATTCCTGGATTTGTATATGGGCACTTCAGATTGTATTGTATTTAATCCTGAATTTGTGCAGTACTATTTTATAGACGAAAACATGGGATAACGTGAATTGTGATTTCACTGTAGGTACTGTATTCATGACGAAGATGTGGAAATTCTAATTTAGTTATGGACTGCTGCAGTCCATTATTTATTGTCATATACCATCTGGCAGAACAGATACAGCCTCAGGGCTTTATAGTTTAAAATACGAGCTGCAAACATACTAGAAGCAGAATTGTTGGGTGGGGAAAGGAAAGTTGTCTCTGAAAATTTCCGTGAGGCTGCAGAATTCTGTTTTTCATTTCTTCTAGAGATGAGAGTTACTGTACTTTATTTTAATCTTTACAGAAATATTACATAAGTTCCCATTATTAATATCTGTAAAGGACAGATTCAGAAGCATTGTAAAAGGAAAGGTTTTTATATCTGGCTAATCTGTTAATGTTAGAGCAAAGACATAGAAAGTGAATGTCTGAAAATATCTTGCTAGACCACGGTGACAGCATTTGTCAAGCTGCTCTGATGTCACTCTCCACATACTACTCTGCTTATTATAATACTTTATATAAGTATTATATAACTAATATAATATAATATATTATATTACTTATTTTAATTAAAGCTTTTCAGAAGCTTTCTGGCAAAATGTTTTTCTCTCAGAGGTTGCCAGTTTGTCAAATGCCAGACACATTCTAATTTCTGCAAACTTCATATATAAACATCAAAACTAACAATTGTGATTTAGTCAAAAGAAGTTGCTTTACTCTTCTTAGAATCCAAGTTTCTTTCTTCTTGATTTGAAGATATCATACAGTTTTATAAAAGTGGAAATCAAAATAATTCGTTTAAAAATAAATAGTATTTTTCAGATATTTTAAAACCAGCCGTTTTGTTCCATTCAGAATGAAAACAAATTGTAGAACAGCGTATTACTACGTAACGCTGAGATCCTAGTTACTGTATAGCTTTTGACTGTATTTCCTTTGGGAGTACTCCTGTATAACAAAGCCTTCCGAAGAATATGTCAGTTTATTTAGTATGTATATCCTAGCAAGGAGAAAAATATGACTCCCCATCATTTCTATTAGATGCTTGCGTCATGTACATCAGCTGTCTCTAAGTATTCGTTACATGATTCGTTTTCTGTCTTAGGTTAATCTTATCAAAGACATAAGGATAATAATAGTTTTTTGTGTCACTGTTGAAGAACAGCATTTGTCATCATAAAAAATGCTGAATAAAAAGATTTTCTTGCCCAGTACCTCCAAAGTATTGAGTTGACAGCCTTTTATAGATCCAGCATTTATTATTTTGACTATTGAACGTGACAAGGAACTAAATTCTAAATTAATTACTCAAAAAAAGTATTTTACTCCCATACCTTTCTTGCATGTATCTCTGCATTGCGTAGAAGCATACGATGCCATGTAACATAATAGTGATATCTCTATTTTTTCCCAGAACCTGATTCAGGAAAGGACATGCAAAGCCACAGAAATAATTGGAGTTTTAACCACTGCTTTAGTTTCAGCCTGGTATTATGTCCTTCGTAAACTGGAGGCTAGCAAAATGCACCTCTTATTTATTTATTTCCTAGCATTCCTTGGCTGGAAATGCTGCACTCACTGTGATTAGCCTTGCCTTTGTAGTTTCAGATGGGTTATTCAGTGTTTTTCTGTATAAATCTACACCTGAAGACTGCTTGGAAGTTGCCACTGCACAGAACACTGCAACTAGCCATAACATCCTACTGCATCTTTGTTCTTTCATTTGTTATCATACTCGCTACAATGCTCTGGCTTCTGACTTTTTCAGGTGCAGTTCAAGGTGCTGGTTTTGACCAAAAAAAAAAAAACTCTCAGCAGTTTTGTTTCTGGGAATTTGCTACGACATATCTATGTTAAATGAGGAGATTTTGAAGGGAATATATTTTAAGTGAAAGACCCTCAAGTGCTAAATCACTTCCCCTTAGCACTCGTTCACCTGGAACATTAGATTCCTCATTTGTTTGTCAGGCTTTCCCATGGCTGCTGGACAAAAGAAGGGAAGTTTTATATCTCCCTGGGCAGAAAGGATATGCCATCTAATGTTTTGCAAGCATTTTTTAATTGTTCTCGCATATACTCCCATCATAGGATAAAAAGCCATTATATAGGAAAATGCAGGAATTGAGTAAAAAAATTAAACAAGAAAATAATGAGTGAGAACATGTCTGAAACACATCCAGGTTAATCAAGCTTTTATCTGCAAGAAAAAGACTGGAATGAAGTGTGGGAGAGGTGCTATTGGGATCTTTTGGTCTGTGATACTGAAAAGGAGTCAAAGATGCTTTATTTGGATATTTTGGACAGAAAATAATAGTAATAGTAAAAGAAAACAGCAAAGCAGCACTGGCAATATGCAGAGGAGGAAAGGGTAGGTGCTTACTCAGGGTTCGTATCGCTAAGAAACAGACAGAGAGTAGTAGAAGTCTGTTCAAGAGGCTTTCTGTCTTGAAATCTAAATGCCTATTTTTAAATCTCTTCTTAGAAAACTTCATTGTACTCGGAACTACATCCATCTGAACCTGTTCCTCTCTTTCATTCTAAGAGCAATCTCTGTTTTAGTCAAGGATGATATTCTCTATTCCAGCTCCAACACAGCTCACTGTCCAGAGGATCAAACCTCATGGGTAATAAACCTCTTTTGCTACCTGGTGTAATGCTGTTGCCTCGTGACATTTTCCTCCCTGATCCTTTTGAATATTTAGGAATAGCAAGCTGTGAGTTTAGAGGATTCTGCAGAGAATGTAACGGCTGGCAAAAACGTCTGCTAGAAGGAGCCAGAGAAAGAAAGGGTCTCAGTGGAAGGAAGAGAAGTTAACATTGCTTTGCAACATGAAGGGAGAGAAATAATGGCAAAACAAGTCAGACCAACTATAGCCAAGAGTAAATATGGCCACAACATTAGTCAGGGGAGAGTTTAAGACAAACAGAATTGTCATCAGCTGGGAAGGGAGAAAACCAGCTCGTCCGGAAATGTTCTAGCAGATATATCAGAGGTCCCGGAATCGGACAGACATCAAAGGAGGGAGAGAAATGAGACAGGAAATTAAATATTTGCAAGAGCTGTCTTTATCAACTCAGCTGTGCTTTCTGGATACAGCAGAAGGGCTGTCATCTTCATTCTTGCTGAGCTGGTATGTTTACTGCATTATCGTGCACAGGGGTTAAAAAATCTAAAGTCTTGATGACTTTAGTCAAAATTGACCAGTATATAATATTCCCCATTCTCTGCCTCATATATTTCAGTCAGAAGTGCTGCAAAAGAATCCTTCAGACTTTGCTGAATACCTTCCTAATTTAATTTACTAGAGTTCAAGCTTGTGAGAAAAAAATGGAAGGAAAATACAGGTTTTGTTTATATAATGATGAAGCCACATTGTCCCAAAGCATGAAGTTCTTAGCCATGACTTCCAAAATGTATGTATGAATTAGTAATCTGGGACATTTCTAATGAAGAGTGTGGTTCTGCCTTTGGGTCAGTAGGTCCAAAGCAGGCATTTGGACTGCCAGAGGTAATCAGAAGTTCTTAGGCCTTTGAAAGATTGGCCCATGGACCCTCAAATTTTCTGCAATTTCCTTTATTCTGTAGTTATTCTTGGCTGCAGCCTGATAATTTCCCTATTTGAATTTGTTGGTTTTTGGCCTGTTGACTAATTTCTGTTGCATTACTTCTGGGATGACCAACTCGGTAAAGCTGCTTTGTCGTGCATAGGCTGGATGCCAGCCCTGGTGCAAGCATGCAAGATTTGCCCCTTCAGCCCATGTGTGCGCTCCACAGCTCTGCTGCAGGCACAGATTTTTAAAAGCACCCAATTTAAAATAGAATGCAACTAGGTCCTGGGTCTGAATGACATAGATCCATAATTTTCGCTGATTTTAACGACAGATACCTTCACTATTCAGCATCTGGAAATAGACCTGATACAGGCTTAACTGCAAGAGGGAGGGAAAATGTTTTGGTGCAGGGTTCTGGTATGTAAGTCAAGAATATAATACAGAGGAGTAAATGCCGTAAATCTATATTGGAACTTAAGAAGAAGGACAAAAATTTTAGGCATTAAGTGTTGATCTGATGCTAAGCATCAAAACAAGTTTCAGTTTTCGTCTTGAAATATTTAATTTTCCCCCTGTAAAAGTTTCTTGCCCATTACTGATCTGCAGTGGATATCCCTTGAAAGTCCTGAGGCCAGATTAGTTAGTCACTGAACAGGATGACTGAATTAGCCTGCTTCTCTAGGCTCCTGTCTTTCTCACTGGAAGAGAAATAATCCTTTCCAGAGGGCAGCTTGTCTCATCTATTTTAAAACTTTCTGGACATGCCTGTCTCTCTTCACAAGCTGTAGAAGAAGCTAGCTAGCTAGTAGGTGACAAGCTTAGACCAGAAACCTTGCTTTTAGGCAGCTTAAAAGGTGAAAGCCTTGGGGTCTTACTTAGTTGCATGTAGTGCAGCTTCACACACGTAGGCATGTAGTGCTACGTGCCTACATGTAGATGCACTGAGATATCCAAAATAGCCACATGGAGCTGCTAGGGAGGCCTGCGTCCTTCTGGAAAGGCAGCCGGAGTCTGGGGTACCTTAGGGCATCTGACGCAGTAGTAGGTACCTGTGTTCAGATAAAGGAATCCATCACTAAATTAATAAAATAACCTAGTTAGGCATTTGGCATACTTGAATTTTTAATAGAAGCAGCAGCAATATGAGGCATTTTAGAACAGGGGAGAGAGTAAAGCAGGCAGAAACTGGGAGAAATCGCTGTATTATAATATTTTATCTACTAGGCTGCATTCACCGTATCACCACGTTTCTCAGTGCAGTCTCAGCAGAAGCGTTTTTATGTTCAATTCTCACCTCCCAGGCTCCTGCTGGGAAGTGCCAAAGCAGCAGCAGCCAGCACTGTGGAACATCAGCAGCACAGACTTCTGCAAGTTAATTCTGCAGAGCAGCATACAGGCTCTAACTGTACTGGGACTTCCGTTTATAGGTTATATTTATGTCTCTTATTAATTAAGAAATGCTAGAGCATTTTCTAAAGGGAAAGCATCATTTTTAAAAGTCCACTCAACTTTTTCTTCTAACTTTGCTTGGGATATTCATGATAGAAAGTTAGATTTTTCATTGTTTTCTTTCTAGCCTTAAAAAATTTGTAGAGGAATTTCTTTGTTAATTTTTAATATGTTATAAAGCTTGGGTACAGTTTTGGTAAATTTATGCAGCTGGATTTTTATGTCTGTTAGCCATTTAACAGCTGATGATTTAATCTAATAGCCATTCATTAACTACTGCAAATGTGTATATTGATAACCATCACCTTTTAGAATGTTTATGCTATGATATTTTCAAAGTTTCTACATGTATTTGCTATGAAAGCCATCTAAAATTTCCATAATAAAGAGTTGGGTTTTTTTTTAATATATACCATAATATTTCAAATGTATCAATTTACTTTTATGGTTAACTGAAGAAAAACTTTTTCTGCTGGACCTGGGTTACAAACATTATGTGGAGAATTAAAACTTCGAGAAATATGACTAACAAAATAATACAGCATCTTTCTTGCAACAAGTTTCATCCCTGTTCTCATATTGCAGGTGGGCTGCAAGGCTATTTTGGTATTTTTTCAGTATGGTGTTATGGCAAACTTTTACTGGCTCTTAGTTGAAGGACTTTACCTCCACATCCTCCTTGTGCTAATATTCTCCCCCAACAGACATTTCACAGTCTATCTGCTGATTGGATGGGGTAAGAAGTGAAGTACCTTCCAATAATCGTCGTTTTCCTTTACCTGTGTATCAGTTAGGTTCAGTATTTCATACCGAGGTAATGATGCAGTTCCTGTTAGAGGACTCGGGTTCATGGCCTGGCTCCTCAGACTGGTTAGTTTGTCCGTTCAGCTTCTCCAGCGTAGGTACTGCAGCGTGGCGGGGAGCAGGCACAAAACCTCCGCGCTCGTCCCTCAGGTTACTGCTAAGCCTGCAGCCAGCCAGGACTCGTGATCGCTTGCCTGTTCGCACGCTCCTCGGCGCGGTTCTCACCTCTGCCAGTTTGCACTCCTTGGCGTTGCCTAGGGGTGGTTTGGGGGATAGGACGGTCCAGGGACTGCAACCCCAGAGCATGATTCATTGGTTCAGGCTGTCCTAATTTGGGAGGAGAGTTCAGAGAAAGAGAGTTCAGGTGTATTGTCACAGGCTGTGCTATGCCACTTGCCTTTGTTGAAAAGCTCGTTAAATATTTTCCATCTGTTTTTAAAAACACATATTCCTTTCATCTGCAGACAGTGCAGTGGCATATATATGGAGCAGTTTAAAGCTTCCAGTAATAAGCGGTCATAAAACATTTAGGTATTACTGGGAATAAACCAATGCGTGTGAATGTTTCCTTATGACATGATTTACTCTTCAGTTTTATATTGTAGTCTTTTCAATTAAATTGGGAATGGGTGTGGGTATGCTATGGGTATCTCCTTATCGGTCCCTTGAAAGAAACCTAAGAAAGGAAGCAAGAAGGGCACCTGCTTTGTGTATTAGTGATTACAACTGCATGTTTATAAGAAATGAACTCACTTCCCTGCAGTATTTGTTAGTAAGACAGGCCTAGCATTGAGTGGTTGATCAGCTGGACCTCTGTCTCCATTATTCACTTTACTATATGCTGTAAATTTGGGAAATTAATGGTTACAAGCAGGCTGTGTTTATTTATTTATAATCTTCCTGTAAACCTCTTTGGTTTTTTAGGAATTCCTACCATATTCATTATTACATGGACAGTGACACGAATCATTCTAGAGGACACTGGGTAAGTAGGTGGGAAAGGGAAAGCCTGAAGTCCCCGACTGCACCAGGTCAAGCCTTGCCTTGCGTAAGAGGCAAGGATATGGTGCTGTTCGCAGAAAGGTAGTTTGCTGTTCTGAAGGAGATAAATACAGGAAAGCTGAAATTTCACAGATGTGACACTCAAGGGACAAGTATTTAAAAACTCTTCAGCCTGAAGTTTAGGCATTCTGTGTATTTGGGTACTTTTAAGGGGAGGAGGTGGCAGAGATATGTTCTGACTAATGCTACCCCTTGAGATCCACATGTAGAGCACTTAAGGTACTGGACATCCTGATTTGCAAACTGGCAACTCAAAGGATTGAAATGCGAAAGTCTTTGGATATGCTACATTCACACAAGTGAAGCAATGTAATGCAAACATATCTAAGCTGTGCACATTCAGGTAAAACTATGGGTGAAGAGAGCGAGGCCTGGCTGTTCTTGGCACGAGAAGGGGAGCTCAGATAAGAGTTGTGTGGGAAGGTCAGACTCGCTGCTCCTGCAGGCGCTGAGGAATGGGACAGAAGAGCTGATGAGACAAACAATTTTCCCCCCCCCTTTTTTTTTTTTGGATCTGACTAGTATTTTTCAATTATTTTGTTCTCCAGTTAAACTGAAAAATCTGCATAATGTCTAGGTTTTCTTTGCAAGACCTCTAACATGTAAACAACTCCTTTCGGCTTCGCCGTTACTGTGCAGGTAGAAGAATTCTGAAGTGTATTGCTCTTGGGTAAGGTGAATCCTTCAGAGCATTTCTTCTCAGAGTGTTCAGGCTAGAATTGCTTAGCCCACAATGAAAATTAAATTTCCAGTTTTTCAGACAAAGTTTCAGGTTCAGTCTTACATTTTCTTAAGCCAGTTTCAGCCATCCGTAACCTAAATACCCCTCAAGGAAATTATGTCGTTTTAATTGTGTCTGTCAGTTGCTTTAGATCTCCCTGCTACCCAGAGGCTGTTGTTAAGTGCTTTTTGGAAAAGAACCTTGACACAAAGTGAAACTAAACTTCGAGCCCCTAAGGGCAACGTCCCCTATTTTTTTTAGCACTAGTCTAGTGTGCCTGGTGTTTCGGCTGATTTGAATATGCGTATTAAAACCGAGGCAGTAAAAGGTAAAAGCAGGAAAAGATTAAATGGTGAGTTCTAGGCGTTATGTTAGTGTGCTTTGACTTTTATGTCGAAAATATTTCTCTTCATAGGTGTTGCTCACTAGATGAAATTAACGTTAACGTTATTTTCCCTTTTTACTTTTTTATAGTTGCTGGGATACAAATGAGCATGGTGGTCCCTGGTGGGTTATACGAATACCAATTTTAATTTCTATTATAGTAAGTAAACTTTGAAGCATGAATTATACATCAGTTCTGCACTGTGCAGTGCATGCAGCCATTATTCTTTACGGCTAGCTACCGACAGGCAAGAATTCCGTTTTAATGAAAAGAAATTATGCTGCAGGAGAAATTTGAAACAGATGTTAAGGCCATTAAAATTTGTTGACTTCAAAATTTATCTGCCTCCTATTAAGTGAACAGTTGCTTTTATTTGTATGTTGTTTTTTTTTTTTTAAATCTCCCCTGCCTGGGGGAAGGAAAAATCTGATTACACTTTTCAATGAATTGAAGATTTGATTTTGCTTGTAAATAGACAGCCCTGGAATTGAGAGTCCCCCCAGCCATAAAAAATTATAGCTGTGTATATCCCTCTGTAATTGGTAACCTATTGAAATATATATTGAATATGAAATATTTTCAAGCATCGGAGTATGTTGCATTGGGCTTTTCCTGTGTGGAGCTCATCAGAATTACTGGAGTAGCATAATAAAACTCCTGTTCATTGTGATAACTGTGTACTTAACATTGGGCATAATATACTATGGTTATATGTCCATTTGTTAAAGCAGCGACAGTTCAAATTAATGCATTTTAGATACATTTGCTCTGGTCTTTGTATGCTTTAGTCAGAAGTGTTTATGTGTTATTAGATTACACAGGATTTCACGAGAGTCCAGGTCAGCCCTGCACTTACACTTGGGCTTGCCTCTTGCTACATGCCTGTGTAAAAAGCGTGCTGAAAATCGCTTGGAAAGAACTTCGTATCATCCTCGTCAAAAAGAATTCTACAAAGCTTAAAGAGAGAGCAGAGTAGGATATGGTATGTGTATGAACAGAGTAAGGACTCTCAGAAAAGGTGTTTTATTGTATGAAGAAATGGGCATGTGACAGAGCTACAGCATGGAGAGGGGACTCACAGCTAAAGGAGCTGGAGAATGTGGAATGGTCCAGAATGAAGAAAATATGATAAACGATGAAAGCAAAGCAACCATCTGGTGTTTACCAGAAGATTTATGCCTGTTCTCTGGATCTTCAGTCTCAACAGCTATGTAGTAGACTTTGTGTGCTGGGAAGCAGAGCTTCTCCAAAGTCCTAGACACGGAGACAGAAGCCATCCAAGTGCTCAGTGGCAGACTTGAATTGCAGCTGGATCTTAGCAAAGACAGGGAAGTGGGTTGGGAGTTCAGAAAATGTAGTAGAGATCAGTCAGCAGAAGTGCAATATATCAAAATATCAAAACATGGACCAGAATCACACTCTGAGGCCAGCTGAAGAACAGCCATGCTCTTTTTTCTTTTTTCCTGGTTCTGTTATTGGTTTAATGTAATGGAATTGTAAGGTCTAAGGAAACATTTTACAAATGACCTTTTATGGCTTGCCAGTCGCACATGTTTAGGATCTGCTGTCTCCTTCCAGAGATGTTTCTTCTCTTTAAGCAGCGTGTTTTAGGGATGAGAACAACAAAAGATGGCCTAGTGATTCTGCAGCTTATGCTGCATATCAATTCATTTACCTCTCTGATTAGATGATTCCCCAGCTGTTTGATCAGCTATACTTTGCATTTGAAAAGTTAAGCTGTGAAAGGAGAATTGAGACGTACGGGAGGTTATATAAAGTAGTGATAAATCTGTAAGCAGCCCTTTCCTGCCAGATAGGTAACGCAGCTTTTTGGAGCATCAGGCTACAATCACCATGTTCATTGCGGCATTTGGGATGCCATGCAAGCTTACTGCTGTGCAAAGTAGAATGTACATTCGGAGAGTAGGAGCGGCCAGCCAGTGAAATGTCACATAAAATTGAGTGTTCATTATTAAAAAATACTGCATTGATGAGAAATTAATTTTCAGTGCACATACACAGCGATAATCACAATATATCCTAGAAACAGTCAGATCTGAAGATTCAGTGTGGGAATAATGAGCCCAGTGCTGCCTGATAGTCAACAGTGAAAACAGATCATTGCAGGTCGTTTGAATAAGACTTGAGAAAGAGTCTTGTATCTGCATCAATGTATGATGTACCTCCATCACACTCGCTTACACAGTGCCTTGAGTCTATTCTAGAGAATGTAGAAGGACTAGAGAAGTTGCAGGAGTGGTGACAAGGATGATCAGCTGTAGCAAACGGTTTCAGCATTAGAAAGGACAGAGACCTATGTGTAAGTACTCAATGAGAAGATGAACACAGGAAAACTCTGAGAGAAGTTGATTTTCAGAAGAATGAAGGAAAGTAGAACACGTGAGTTGAGAGCTGCTGTGGACTGTCCTGTGCAACAGCGTGAAAGAAAGCCTGGAGTGTGAGTGGTATTGAAAATCTTTAAGAGCAAGAGACGGACTGCAAAACAAAAAAAGATAGACTTCAGCTTTTTTGTGAGGATGATGTCACAAGTATGCTGTTGCAAGGAGGAGGAAATAAAATGGAGGTTTTTTAAGGAACAGTGGTTTAACTGCATTAGATTTAACAGGAAGTCCACTCAGTCTTCATGCTGTATGCGCTCTGTTCCATCGATTTCTACGTTACTTCCAAACATTTTAGCAGCTTAGAGGATTATATTATCTGAAATGTTATTATCAAACAGTAAATAGCGTTGACAGAGCAATTTCTGAAGTCACTTGTCAAAGTGGGAATGGCTTCAGTTAACTTAGTGCCTCAGAGACCTTCCCCGACATCTCCTCCGAACGATTTTGGCCTGAGCAAAGTGATTTGGCAGGCTTCCACGCTTGCTGTACACACCTCAGAGTTCTTTAATTGGAGGCGTACTATTCCAAGCACCTCATTTGGAGTATCACCCCTATTCTCCGTTTGGCAAATGCCTCCACAGCTGGCTTGTCCATACTTACACTTACATAAACTGCTCTCATTTAGGGAGGAGGGGGTGCTCAGGTGGAAACAGTACTTCTGTCACATCAAAGTAACTGAGAAGTGTTCATCTTGTTATTTCATATTGCAGCTAATGTAACGAACTAAATAGCAAGAAAGAAGCAACATCAAGACAGTTTAAATGATACATGCTTAGGCAATGTGTTTGGACTCAAAAACTTAGTGTCAGAACAAGTCAGCTAGTAAAAAAAAGGCATCACCAGCATCTTAATGTTACTGCACTAAAGAGCCATCATTTGTCGTAACTTTCCCTCGGTCTTGCAGTTTCTCTGCATTTACATTATTTTCTCCTTTTACTGTTCTTAGATTTTCATTCAATGTTGCACATGTTCTGTTTTATTTAAAGAAATTATACGCAAAGGATGTTATGGGACTGAAAAGCTACAATACTAAAAGTAAAATCCACGGGCACTACTTGTTTCATATTTTGTTGAAATGCATTATTTTAAATTCAGATATATACTTTAAAGGATTTTAACAAATGATCAATAATCCTCTTATAGAAGTTAATTTGCTCTACTGTAGTAATTCAGTGGCAGTTTCCACCTTCAGATCCTAGCACCCGGTTTCCTCTGGCTGGATTTACAAGCTCAGTAGCGCCAAGGAATGTTACTTACAAACTCCAAGAAGAATGTGTGTTTTTCGTTTATCCAAGGTTGTGCTTACAGAGAAAAATAGGCTTGTTTTAAAACAGACTTAAATGTAATATGTGAATGACAGTCCAGAATGAGTCACTTGAGTCTAGTTTTGCGTGAGTTGATGCCTCAGAAACCAAAAGGGTGACAACTTACTCTATTACAGTAGCAACTAGGGGGGCACAATCGAGAACAGGAAGCTATTCTGCTAACCTCTGTGCAAATACAGAGTAAAGATTTTTCCTTCTCCTGCTTTGTGGCTAACAAATATACAGTGGAATGGAAGTTCCCTCCTTGTCCACTGATAGTAGCTCCAGTGTATGTGCCCTACTAAATGTGTATCCCTTGATCTGTTTGCTCTGCTGTGATAAATAAGCTTGTAGATACAAAGCCGTCAGGAAGAATACTGACTTCGGCGAATTACTTCATGGGGAGACTTGCAGAAAGTAAAACTTCAAATTCAGCATCTGCTTGCAAGATGTGTGTTTACTTCAGTGAAGGCTGGTGTTTTCTAGTATTTTCTTTTGTATTCTTCTCTTTCCAAAAAAAAAAAGTTTTAATTTTCCTTATTGTTAGTTTGATCGCTATCTGTCAGTCCCTGTCACTTCCCTTCACCCGTCCTTCTAAAGAAAATAACAAGTACAGAGGAAAGTGCAGTTGTTATGACCATAACTTATTTATCACACCACAAACTGTACTGGGTATTGCAGAGAAGACACAGAAAGTCATTCAACTTTAAGAACTTGCAGTCAAATTATTAAGAACAAAGAGTTACAGCAATAAATCAAGGCAGAGAGAGAGTGAAGATTTATAACAGTGAGGCAAGCACTTTCTGGTTAGGTACCCAGCCTCCTGATTTTGAACTTTGGGATTGGATGTAGTTAAAAAGTATATAATGTTTGTTATCACAGTGATAGAAATTTTTTTCTGGATGAATTTCTTCGAAAACTTGCATTTAATGCAACTGTTTATGTAGTCCTGGTTTTAGTTAGCTCATGCTGATGCTGTGAAGGTGTAATGGATTCAAAACGTTTCATCATCTTAATATTGCACACTATTTTTAGTGTGCAGAGTGCTTTCTAGACCACAACAAATGAGCCAGCACCAGAATAACTAATAGTGATCGCAACATACCGAAAGCCAAAGATAGAGATATTATGGGAAAGAGATTTGAGATCTCCTGAGAGATCTCCTGAGACTAGGCTGATCAATGTCTGATCATAACTCCAAGTTTACTCCTTGTTTATCCAAGTGCCTCCAATCCCTACCTGTGAAATAAGATAATAATAGTATTGTTCTATCTCAGAGGGCTGCTACGAGAATAAAATGTTAGATTGCCAGGATTCAGATGCTTCAGAATAATGTCAGCATCCTTACTCAAGACAGACAGGCATGGGAAAGGCGCTCTCCGTGCTCGCTGGGAGTGGATAGATCACATGTGCAACAATCTTCTCTCTGCTAATCCAGAGAGAAAATATGAAAAGTCAAGGTGAGAGGCTAAAGAGTCAAATTCTCATGCGGAAATGGCATTATCCTTTGGGCTTCCAGTGGTGAATCCACACGAGACTTTAGTACAATGCACTGATTCCTGTCCAATATCCTGTCATGCCAGGAATGCTATCTGCAGCTGAGATTTGGGAAGAAGGGATTACTGACAGTTGGGACTTTCAAAAGCTTTTGTCAGTCCCACTAGCGCTTGTGGCCACGCAGAGGTGCTCTGCACGTAACAAACTGTTAGTGAGGCAGGAAGCAGACAATAGGTTTGACGGTGTAAAGCCTAATGTGCCCTGGCAAGTACACAGAGCTCACTGACGAGCTGATTAGTTGGACCTGGTTAACGTTTCCTTGTGCTGCATATTCAATTGAGAAGTCAGAAATCACTATTATATTTGTTTTTTTTTTTCAGGTGAATTTTATACTTTTCATTAGTATTATAAGAATCTTACTGCAGAAATTAAGATCTCCAGATGTTGGAGGAAATGACCAGTCACAGTACAAGTGAGTTGTATTTTTAGACATTATATACAGAACCAAAATATGGGATTTACTCTGCTGAAGCCTGCTGCCAACAATTGATATGGTAGTGTAATCGCATTTAATTCCAAGGCATCTATTTTTAGATGTGGTTTAATAAAGATCTTAACATTAGGCTGAAATAGAGATGAACATAAATTTTTGTCAAACAGTAAATTCAATGAAAAATAAGCAATTCATGAAGACCAACAAGCTTTTCCTGAGATTGAGTTGAATTCCATGAATGAGTGTGTTTATGCAAAATATGGGAGAAGTACCTCTTTTTTTTAATGTCTGAGTATTTTGTTTCAACACAAAAACGTTTTCAAGGTCAAAATGCTTTGCTTCAATCAAAATTTTTTTGTTCTTCATTCTCAAACCCCTTTGGTTGTAGTATTTGCGTTTATTTTAAGATCTGGAAGGAAGCTATCCTTGAAAAAATAAAAAACAGCAAAGTGATGGATTTGTCCCCAAATAAATTATAATATTTTATATTGATCTAAAATAGCATCTTTATGTTATTTTTCCAGATAAAAGTAAGAGTTTCTAATTTAGATCAACTTGTTTTCTGTTTATGCGTTCCTCTTTTGACCTTTTTTTGGCTTAACCATTAAACCAATATCCATTATTTGCAAAGCTTCATCATCAGTGAATGTTGGGGGGCTGGAATTTAAACACATTGCTAAAACTGAATTTGTTCCTTTTTGTATTATCATGTTGTTTATGATCATTTATTGTAATAGCTGCTGCGTACTGCAATCTAGAATCAAGTCTCTGTTGTACTATGTCTTATTTTAAAGCCCAGATATAGACACTCTGTTGGGCACTTTAGGATGTTAAAATAACACTATTTTAATGACAAAACTAAGATGAACACTGAAAATTCAAAGCTGTGCAGTGAGTGACCTTGGAAAATGGGCTCCTGGATAACACCTCTTTTCTCCATTTAAAAAATATTGAATTCCTTTCATAAAAGGGGTCCTAGAATAAAAAATGTCTTTCAACTCAGGAGAACAAGAACCCTATATATTTCAAAAAAAATGTGACATATCCGATGCTGTATTATTACATCCCAGAGCTCTTAAGACAGTGGAGGACTAGAGCAGATTATGAGACTTCTCCTACGGTGTCCACAGATGAAAAATGAAACATTCTGTAGTGTTTGCAAAAATCAGCCATGTGTCTTCTGAAAGCCCTTAAGCAGCATAAAGGAGTGATTTTATACTATTCAGTTAAATTGCTTCAAAGTGGCTTTAGTTTGCAAATACAGTCTATTGATTTTTCTCAAAGTAAATTTTAGCGGAGCTGTACTTGTATTAATAGAACGTATTGGGTCTTCGAAACATAGTGTAGTAAATTAAAAATCGCAGACCTTCCAGCTGTTTTGCGCTCACATGTTAGGCCATGATCTTTGACTTACAAGTCATCCAGGCTGGAGATGGGTGACTGTATTTACATATATTGAGTATCTTATAAAAGTGAAGCAAACCTAGTAAGTCAGGCGACCCATATTAGAACTGCATCCATTTACTGGAAGCCTGATGCGTCCAGAGACATTGAACATGGGACATTCACAGTAGGTTGCTACTTTTGTGAGCTGTTAATGTTCTGTACGTACTCTGGGCATTTATGCTTTTGGTGCACCGTGTCCCATTACTGATGTGATCATGGGAGCCGGTGGACTACTGGAAGGGGGAATGAAGAACAGGTACCTGGGGCTCAAAGCGAGGGAAGACTTCAGGACAAAGATGCAAGCATGCTGGAAACATCTGCATTAAGTATTCCTTCCTTGGAAGTCGCACACTTTCCTTTCCTAATCCGCTTTGGACGGGTAACTTGCTATTTAATCCTAAAGTGAAGGATTTGATGCATCAGTGAAAAGAGAGTACCACCAGATTGGCGTAGGGCTGGGCTTCAGAGACATGCATGGTTCCTTTTGTGTTTGCTGTTTGAATTAATTCAGTATGTGGGAGAACCCAATCAACCTAGATGAAATTAGGCAGTCACTACATTATTATTTAGCACAACATCTGACATATGGGGAGGAAGTCTGCTGAAGTTTGCGTCTTGTGACAGGAACTTTTCTTTCTTTCTCTGTGGTATTTATGTATTTGATGAAAATGAGGCATCCCTTCCCATCAGGCCCTTCATTTTCCACAGTTTACTGTAGAGCTTCATAGCATAAAAATGTTCAGTAATAGCAACCTTGTTCTTCACTGTTCAGCACTCTAAATTCTTTGGTTTTAGCTTTTGATTGCCTGATTAAGTTTGAATTGGATGGTGTTTAGCAGATACCCTTGGGAACAGCAGATTAACCTCCTCAAGAAATACTGCTTCTGCAGAGCAAATTAAAGGTCTGGAAGGTTCCTTTTTAAAAATGCAAATATATTTTCTTAAAAAAAAAATGAAGAAGGCAGCTATTTTTGTCTGGCTCTTTCCTTGATTAAAATGTAAGTGTAGTATAGAGAAAGCAACATCAGCTAGTCAAAAACTGTTAAAACAAGAAAGTGAAATGTGAGACTAAAATGGATAGTACTCATCATTTTTCTTTTCTTCCTCTTCTTTTTTCTTTTCTTCCTCTATCCCATCTGTCGGTACCCGGTTCCATACTTTTTGTTCCTCATTTTACTTTTGCAGTGAGAAAGGTTAAGCTGAAAAAAAAATCAATTTTCTACTTCACTTGGGAAACCATGAAATTTGCTGCCATCATCATCTCTTCCGGTTGTAAATTTTTACGGTGAATTTATTTTGCCAAGGAAACCCTGTTTCTCTCACTTACTGATACCACCTTTAGGTGTGAGGGTTTTACTATTCTTGAGAAACTTTGCTATCAGAAATGATTATTTCCACATAAACAGATGCAGCCTCTGGGACATTATGAGCAAAGGAAGGCCACAAGGACTGACCGGAAAAAATAGAACTCTTTGAAATACCTTGATTTTTGTGTTAAAATAGATTATTTCAGAACAGCTTCCTTTCAATGTTGAATTGAGTTACATTCATCAAGACAGTGATGAATTATGGGACTCTACACACTAACTTCCTGCATTTTATCTGATACCAAACATCTACAGTCAGGCATGACTGGCCCTGTGTAATATAAAACTGATGTCATTAAAGTGAAATGAGTGACAGATAAGGGATAATTAGCAATTCATTTTTTCAGTAGTTTCACAGGCAGTTTTTCACAACTGTTCTGCTTAATAATTGAAAGTTGCCTTTTCCTTAACTTGTGCTAAACTGTATTTCATAATTGATGAAATAGTTACTGTAGTTACTGTAGTTAGGAGCTTTTAGAATTTGAAATTGCTGATAAAAATCTCACAGCTGAGATTGTCCTTGATGGCATGTCCTAGATATTGTTTACGCACTGTCCATATGAAATGTGCAGGCTAGCCATGCAACTGCAAATTTAGAGGACATGAACGTTGGCTTAATAACTTCAAGACATAGCTTGCACCTTACATAAAAGAGGAACTGTTTGTATGATTTTTCAGGAAGGAAATATTCCTTTCTACTCTAAGCCCTTTATACTGAAAAAAATATCCTAAAAGTCCTGATCGCGGCTAGCGACTCTTTACAGAACGTGGAATACCACAATGAGCTCCTCCTCCCTCAAAAAAGTGTGACACGAAGGCAGGCGGGGACCTCGCGTTGTGTCAAAGATAGGTAAGAGAGCGCAGGTCCCACACCCCACTGCTGTCCAGAGGCAGCGGAGGCAAAAGTCTTTTGGTTTAGAGAAGCCCTGCAGCTTTTTAGCAGCTTTTGGGATCGGGCTAGGTCAGCAAGATCAAGTGTGACATGGAATTTGTAGGGCTACTATGTGGCTAACCTCATAGCAAGCTTGAAGGGAGAACAGTTTTCCATATACCAATGACTCTTACTAAGTCTGTTTACAAATCTGAAGTCTTACGTGGTTTTTCTAAACAACATTGCATCAGGTACTTATGTTGATAAAACAAGAGCTTATCATTAAACTCCATCTTTTTCTGTTTCCTTTACTTAGGAGACTTGCAAAATCCACGCTGTTGCTTATTCCATTATTTGGAGTTCACTACACAGTATTTGCTCTATTTCCTGACCGCAGTTCCAATAACTACAAAATAATTTTTGAGTTGTGTTTGGGATCTTTTCAGGTAAATTTTAAAGCTTTTCTTCAAAAAAAAAAAAAACGTTTTACTGACTCAGGTTGGTACTCTGTACTAACTAATGAATATTATCTGTTTCCAGGGGTTGATCGTTGCAGTCCTGTATTGCTTTTTGAACAGTGAAGTAAGTCTCCCCTTTCCTTTTGAGGACATGAACTTTTGTTTTCAATAAATATAACAGCGCCCCTATAATTCCACTCTATGTATCATGAAGTTTTTTTAAAAGATGTTTGCTTTCCCGTTCATAGAATATGTATGTGGTAGAGATAGGAGAAATCAGTGTATTTGGGTGGAGAGTTAAGAGCTATATGAAATCTAATTCCTTGCAAACTGAAGGCAGGTTAGTAGGTGTGTCTTCTGTTATTTCATGCGGTCTAATTCTAGCCCTGTTACAATCCATGCGAATTGTGCAACTGAGGTGCAGCAGGTCTAGAAATTATCCACAACTTTGAACGCCATTTTGTAAGTATTTAGGGGTAATCTCCTGAAAGAATCTCCCCTCCAGAACAGCAGCAGATTTTCAGAAGGGTTCAGCATATACTACCTTTCCTAATCTCCGATGAGGAAGAAGGAAGGAATTGCTCTTGATGTCAGCAAACAGTGTCTGACAGGAGGAATCCGCCCAAAGAAGACATCTCCTTGCACAGGGAATTGAAATCAGGTCTTCTGAGTGCTGTTCTGGCCTTTGATATTGGTGGCATGCCTGATCTTGGACTGATCATTGGATTCTATGCTTCAAATACGTATGATTAATAGCTACCTACCGACAGCCTCTGTTTCAGTACAAAGAATTCAGATCTGATTTTGAGAACAGCCTGGGGGTTTCTCCTAATACAGTGTAGCCACAGTCTTTGCCTGTATTTTCTAGTCTGGTTAGAAGTTATTCCCAGGGGTCCCCACTTGACGGCCAATAAACGTGGGAACGTTGGTCATGTGAAAAGAACGTTTTCAATGCACATGCATTTTCTTTTGAACATAGGTGCAAGGGGAGCTGAAGAGGAAATGGCGGAGTCTGTGCTGGAAGCAAACAGCGGGCAGAGATTACAGACTCCACAGCTCCTCGATTTCTCGAAACGGATCAGAAAGCGTTTCTCAGCTCCATCGGAATTCAAGGGCTCAGTCCTTTATGCAGACAGAGACCACCATGATATAAATCAGCTAGGTCCTCCAAAAGATGAAACAACAAACTGTGGGATATATCGTTCATTACGCAGCTTGATGTGGTATTTTCTAAAATGTACAGTTTAGTGCTTTGCTTTTCTACATATTGCTGTTTGGGAAATTGGTTTGTGCAGCCAACCAGGTAATAACAGAGACACCTGCTCCATGGATGCTTTGTGCTCTTCTTTATGCCATTCATATTAATTTTGATGTTCTCCTGCCATTTACTAGCCACAACTGTTTAAAAACTAATATACTATAGCAGTTCCTTTCCCCTTCAATCTGTCCATGAGTTGAACAGTACCCTTTTCGATGCAGACTGACTGCTTTGGTACATTCGAAAAGGTTAAGATGGGAAGCAAGAAAATTTCCTACACTTTATTTAATAAAGTAATATTTCTTTCCTAATTAGGCACTAATTCTATTTCTTACCTAATTAGGCACTAATTATGGAAAACAGAAGAAAAATAAAGAAATGTAAGGCTATAATTAACCACAGTGGGAGTGTAGTGTAGTAATCTAGGAAATCATTAATACTATTTATACAGAGGAAAAAAAAGTAGAACTTCTTGGCTAATTTTATAAATCGTCATTCAGTTCTCAGATGACTTTCTACAGAGCTTGATTCCTATCCTGCTGTCCCCCCACCTGAAGTGCCTGGTTTTTAGGTTTCGTAGGACTATCTTTGCGGTTCGTATAGAAAAGCCGACGGTAATAGTTATGATTAAAACATCACCATTTGCCAATAGCACTACTCTAATCACCAGTTGTACTCCTCTGTTTAAAATGAGAGAGATTTGTGTTGATCTTAGGTTAAACAATTTCTGAAGAGGTGCTTTATTGCTAGGACAGTCTGGCATAGGATAAACAGCCTTGGATAGCCTATTACCCACTGAAAATACTGTTTTCATAGAATATTTTCATTAAAATATGTCTCTAGAGCTATGTCCTTGGCAGCTAAAACAGAGAGTATTACAATAAAGTTACAACTCCCATTTAAGGAATAATGTAAATATTTTAGCTTAATTCCATTTTGTGTCTGAGCTGATTTAAAATTTAGTCCTGGCCATGAGTCCGGCAAAAAAAAGTAGATACAATCCCTAAAAATTACCATAAAAGGCATAAATTGCAAGAATTTTCGGCAGCATCAAGCCTCTTATGTAGTCACTTTGTAAAAAAGAGAGAGAACTGACAAGTTCTTATAAATATACACAGAACATTTGCAATCTTAAAAGAAATGAACCCAGTGATGTTTACTTCTCATGTCACAGTTGACCATGTCCACTCTAAATAGTAAGTGTGAGTGATATGTATTTACATGAGCACCCTTGATCCATAAAGAGAATTGCCCTAATATTTCAGATAACAGATCGTATGGAGCTAGCAGGGTCCAAGGTCCCTAACGTTCCCAGGAACGGGGGAGCGTGGCAGCAAGGAGGATCCCTTGGCAGGCATACATGTACATTCCTGAAAGTATTGCCATATATTATTGGCAGCTGTCAAAGTGTCCGTGTACTTCTGGGTCTGTTTTACTGTTACCTATTTATCAGTCAAACACCATTTATTTTAATGGGATTGTCCTGGAGCGATACAAAGTTATGTCAAACCAAAGATAGAAAATGCCATAACGGCTGCCATGAGTACTAAAGAGCAGGTGACTTTATGTATATTACGTGACACCTACCCTTTACGTGATAGGTATCATTTGAGTTAAATAATAATCATTTAATTCTTACTTTGCCAAACCTCACTTTAAGGCCGCTCTTGGTCACGTCCCGTCATTCAGTGTTTTTTACTGTCACTTGGTGAAGTCACTATGAGATTCTGGAGCAAACTAACTTGCCCAGGGGGGTCTAAAGATGGGACCATACACCTATATTTAAACTTACATGCTAAGTATTCCCAAAGACTTTAGACTCAGAAAGCATTGCTGACCTTTGTATTTCTCCTGGATCGCTGAACAACCTTAACAGCAAACTCTTAACTGCAAATGTATAAAGACACATTGGAGCTTTTGAGGGGTCTGTGCTATTCCTGAATTAAGTACATCTGTGCACTTTAGGCTTCTTCGCATGTCACGGGGACTGCTCAGCTTTCTGAAAATCAGATCATATCTAGATATATGGAACACTATTTTTTGAATGCAGAATTTATTTTTTTCCCTGAAACCCAAAAGTGGAAAGGCACACTTGGCAAACATTCAGATGTATTCATTTATGTTCAAAGGAGGTTCTGCAAGTGAGAGTTGTGCTATAGAAATAGAGGTTTTAAGCGATCAGTCCCATCAGCCTGTTCTGCATGATGCATTGCCAATTATGTGTTTAGAATTCATTGTGTATCCTGGAGAAAACTATCTTTGCTTTAATTAGATGAGCACAGAAAAAAATCTGCATTTTAATGATTTCTGGATTATAAAACACTAAATCATAAATGAGGGAATACATTTTGAGTTGCAACAAAGCAGCATAGTTTTCTTTAGCAGGGTACAGATGCGTTTGGACTTGCAGTCCAAATTGGGACAGGTGGTATCCTACTGTTCATGTAGGGAGTAGTGCCATATGAGACAATGCGGTTGCACAGTGGTAGAAATAAATTGACATCACTAATTTTTCAAAGGACTTGTAATTTCAGTGCTTGCATGGGCAGGTGAAGAATGGCATGCAAGGGAGAGAGATGCTCCACATTTTATTTCAAGCCAGTGAAAAGTGCAGTACTTTGTAAAGCCTCATCCCTCTACTAAAAATCATTGAATCTAAATATAGACAACACTTTTTCTGAGACAGTTGTACTTCATAATGCCTTGTACAAGCATTTTAAATGTCTGCTCCAAATTCACCAAGGAATTTTATTCAAAGTTCCAGCATCAACCTGAGCAGCATGAGACCCGTTTGACTTTCAGCTGCCTTTGCGCACACAGGCACACATCGTATTAAAATGTACGCAAAAATTGCAAAGCGGTTTGATGAATCTAGCACTTGAGCAGTGTTTTGCATCTTTATGGCATACAGAGACAAGTTTTTCCTGGCCTTGCCTCTCATTACGTTTTACACTGCGCTGTGGCGATAAACTGTCTTGCATTGTGCTGTGGTGACTCTTAAGAGTCGAAGAGACAATGCAAAAAACCATTATTTAGCCCTTATGGCATCCTTGAGCGTCGCGCTCCCCTGGTCCTTGCAATGTCAAGGGAGGAGGCAAAGGCACCAAGACAGGCACGTGCTTTCCCAAATGGCCTTTCATGTACTGCTCCTCCCTTTTTTAATTCCTTTACTATCTCCTCCCTTTGGTTGTGTTAAGTTCAAAACTGAATTGTAAAGTCTTCAGGGCAGGAAACCTGGGTTTTTGTTCCCCCTGAGAAGTCAGTAGGACATCATGTGTGCAGGAAGGTTCCTGAACAAGAACAGTAATGGTATTCGCTCTCAGAGCGGTTAATTGGAGGACTGCACTTGCCTGTGGGGCTGCACCATTCGTTCTGAGTGACTTTTATCGGCTTTATGTCCTGCTGGTGCCTGTGGGACACACTGCGACGGATTACTCCCCAGTTGCTAATCGTGACCAAAATCTGAATATAGGTATTATTCCACTAGATTTCCTCGGCAGAACTGATTTCAGCTGGATGCTTGATAAACTCAGGTGAAATTCACATGTACCCAATTCAGGCATCTAAAAGTTAGATGTCTGTTTTTGAGCTACAGACTCTTTTATGTGCCTTCCATAGTCGTCACAGAGAAACAGTCTGTAGTTTACGATGCTTCATCCCATCTTCAGATGAGTATCTAAGGTGGGTAAACAGAATCGTCCTCTGAAAACACCTGTTTTTCTCGACTTACTATAAAATGAGCACAGGGTAGCTGGCTAGTGTTTAGGGTTCTCAGTTCCTGTCTAAAATTAGGTAAGATGAATTTCTCCTGTAGAGTTTATGGCCAGAGGAGGCCGTTAGGTTATCTGACTAATAGATGATACTCAGATATCCCTTGTTAAGCCAAGTAACTTGGATTGGCCAAAGTTATCCTGCAGCAAAACATGCAGGGTAATTTAAAAATGCAGGCAGTGAAGTTCATTTTTAGGGTGTCCCACTGGTTAACTGCTTTCCACGGTAAACCCTTTTGCCTTATTTCCTGTTTGGATTTGCCTGGATTCAGCTTTCAGCAATAGTTTCTTGCTTTGGGTTGGGTGTTTGGTTTTTTCGGTCTTTTGTAGAAGGGTCGTCTGCTAAAACAAAGTATGAGACTTTTTCTTTATGTGAAGTCTACTGTTGTTGAAGTCACATCTTGATTCTCTCTCTGAGAAACTAAAGATGTCACATCTCTGAGATTCTTACTGCAAGGCATTTTCTCAAATATTTTTCCTGCGCCTCGGTCCATTTGTAATGGCTTCGGCCACAAGAAACAACAAACTCCAGTATCGCCCTTGTCACTATGATATACACCGTCGACCACATGTCCCACTCCACTTGCACCTCACCTGGTCCTACCTTTGAGAATTGCACGTAGTCATTTTAACTGTTGACCAGGAACTGGCAAATAACAGGCAACAAGATTATTAACAGCAATTTTTTCTACCGTCTGAACTTGAACCTTTTTATAATACGTTGGCCTAGGAGTCCGGGTCAGGTGCACTAATTTCCTTTGCAATATAACCTTAGCAATGTGGAGAACATCATTTTAGTCATTGAAAGCAGTGCCTACCTTTAAGAAATGTTACGAATTTGACATGTGTTTAAGTAAGTATTCCATGTAAAGCTGGAGTGCACATTTACCCCAACAGCGTGGTGATGGGTGCTGCAAAGAGCCAGACGTTGGAACCGTATTGTAGCAGCAGAAGCTGATTGGTGACAAAGGCATGAGAAAGCTTTCTGGTGTCAAGGCGGAGATAGCCTGCTCCACTCCATAGCCACTTCTGCACGTCGTGATGCACCCCAGACAAGCTTTCCTCTGCCCTAAAAACGATGGAAGGGAAAGCAATGGACATAGAGCTTCAGCAAACCGGAGAATCGGTTTGGGACTGCTGATGAAATAAGGCATTTCTGAGTGCAAGTGTCTCTAAGCGTAAGGATTGAGATGATCATTTCTCTTATTTCTTTCCTATTTTTGTGAGTTTTAAAGCAGATATTCTGTTTTAAACTCACTTTATGCAGAATTTTTTTTCACACAGCTCCAATGAAAATCCAACATTAAACATATTTGATAAGAAAAGTGGCACTGGCAAGTAACTTGCAGAAAAAGCTACTATGGATGTAGTGGTTGTTGTTGGAACAATTAGGGTCTGCACACAGCGATACAGCAGAGTATTACGAAAAAAAAGTATCTTTACATTACCGTGAGTGCCTATATACGCTTTGGGCTGTCAGTGCTACGCTGACATAACCAAATAGCAGAAGTTAGCATACAGTGCTATTGTGTTTATTAAATAACAAATATTGAAATGATAATGGATTGTGCCGTGTGTGTTCGGAGGAGTAAATCAGCATAACATAGAAAAGGAGCGTCTGTGGTACGGTTTAACAGCTCAGTGCTGAACCTGGTTTTGCTATTGCAAGCAGTATGTAGGTAGTTCTGTTGTCAGCTAAACCAGTGACTGAAATGCCCCAAACTGCTTTATTTCCCAAAGCACTGTAGTAAGTTTATTATATGCTGCAACATTTTTCTGGAGCATTAGTATGAGCATTGGTTTGAAATTCTCTTTTACCATCTTTATTGATAACTTTTTTTCTGTCAAATACAGTAAAAATTTAAGATGATGTAAATGAATGTGATAATTTTCTATAAAATGTACAGACTATGACTGTTGTATAGATTAATGTGTGTAAATAGATTTGCTTTTCATACTGTAATGCAGTACGTGTATCCTTTATTTTTGCTCTTTTTTTTTTGTATTGTTTTAATGTCACATCCGTAACAGCCTTCTCTGCGGTGCATTGTATATAAAACTGTGAACAAATAAGCATTTATATCTTCGTGCTATTAGTGATAATAGTAGTTAATAACACCACAAAGGGCAGAAGCAGAATCAGAGGAAAAAATTTAAAAGTTTTGCACAGAACCTGTGTTGTTTATATTTAAAAACCTGTGTAAAATGATACAATTTCCTCGCTGATTCAGTGGTCAAGGCCATGCTCAAGTTTGTGGCTAAGTTAATATTTCACTTTTTAATTCAACAGCTGTAAGATTTGCACGTTATAGAAAACCATCCCCTTACCTGAGGAATACATGTCTTCGTGCAGCTGAGCTAAGTTTACATGGGTGTAAGAAGGACATACCACTAGAGTAGATCCGGGTGATCCTGTATGTCCTATACGTAAACATCTCGATGGCTGGTAGTTATTTTGATTTACTACGTCTTACTTAAAAGCATTTGTCCAGGTATCTTTTAGAAGTACAGTGTAATAGAGGTGGAACAAAGGAAAGCTATGAAATCTTTTCTGGAGAGGGAAAATCATATGTCATGTATTTCTTCCCTAAAAGATATCTATTTATTCCTATATCTATATCTCTATCTTTCAGAAAACTAGATACCCTCAAAAATTAGATTTTCAGAAGTTCTATACCTGAAAAGGTCCTCCTGCCTTGGCAGCTCATGGCTGCATGGAAAATGAAAGGCCGAGGCTGCTCCTGCCATGGGAATGGGCATGGAAAGCAGTGATGGAGAGCCGTTCTGCTTTCCCTCATGGCCCCATCTGCCCCCATCTGTCTGTATCTATACTTGTCCCAGAAATTATGGCATCAGGAGGGGTCCTCTGGCCCACTGAGAGATGCATGCATTCATGAGCATATCACAGGGTCTGAGCCCTTTTGCATTCAATTACAGGACAGCAAAGCCTTCGGAGCCCTTGCCCACATACATGTCCTCTCTCCCGCGTTGCTGACTGGAGAGTCCCTAGAACAGGTCGCCTTGACGTCCCTAGCGGGCTGCATTGGGGCTGAAGAGCCTGAACACCCCAGGAGAGGCGGGCTGCAAGGGAGCAAAGCAGCTGGACGGATTCCTATCGATGCTGGCAACAGCGCCAGCATGTTTCCCTGGAAAGCTGGAATCCCGTCAAACCCCAAAAAACTATTTTGTTAAAAAAATGCTGAGTGCTTGTAACGCTATCAGCGTTGACAGTCTCCTGTGGCTGCAGAAATTAATGTCTCTAGAATAAGAGGAAAAGTCAGTGTATCTTGAAGGGATAAGGGAGACTGCATCCCTTGTTTTCACAAGGGATTTTATTTTCCCATCGCAACACAGTCACAGCCCAGCTCGTTCGGTCCTGTCCGCTTGCAGCTGGGCAGAGGTTGGCCCTTAGGCAGCAGAGCGACAAGCACAGCTGAAAAAGAGAGGAGTTGCGCAGGCTACGTGCAGGAGCTGAGCCACCTGGGAGAGGCCAGAAGAGCTGCGCTCAGGAAAAGAGGCAATCGAGGCGAGAGGCTATGCAGAGCCTGCCTACAGCACGGCGCTGTCAGGGGACTTTGGGGCGGGGGGAGGCGGCGGTTTCTGTTGCAATGACTTTGCAGCAGCATGGAGGTTATTCTGGTTTTCAACGGGGGCACCTTGGACTGCACAACCCTCCTGTGTTAATAGAAAGATCCAAATAATCAGACCCTGTATGGCCAACTGAATATGAGTGAATCACAATTTCACTTATTAAAACGCTTTCCAATAATTACATTCCATTGCTTATAATTATTTGTGTTTTAATACCCTTATCTTTCCCTAATAACATACACGTGGACATATTACGAGCTAGCTGACCTGCAGTTTAGGGTGAACTATTTATCCATCCTCTTAATAAGTAGGTATATGTTGTATCAAACTATTTATAGACTTTCACATAGTCTTTAGGAAAATACTTAGTCTACCTATCACCAGTGCTCTGAGTTAAACTCATGTATCGATTAAATATGAGCATTGAATTTGGGAGACAAAAAAGATCGAAATGAAGAGGCAGTGCTTTATGTTGAAATCCTCCTGCATTTCTGAGCTTGTACCTTTGTAATTGAGATTGCTTTTCAACACAAGCCAGTGCTTTCAGGTCAGAAAGGCTTTAGCAGTAGCCGCCAGCCACTGCTCATCCCCGGTTTCCTGCTTACATTCTTCACCTGCTCTTAATCAGTGCCTTGGGCTTTGGCTGCCTGTCTCCGTAGGATAAGAAAAACTACTTTGCAAATAATGAAGGAATCAATAAGCAAGTTTAGAAAGACGTAATTCATAATGGAGCCTGACTATTAGGAGATATTTTGTTATGCTGAGCAGCATTCACGAGAAGCAATTTCAAAATTAAAAACTAATCTAAATACCGTAGAAAATTGTGCTGTAGAGAATGATTGTGTCTTAGTCAGGTGATGAATTAGACAATTTAATCATTCCTGCAGATTCTAGCTTCTGTTATTCAGCTAAGTGCCCAAACCATATGGCCTCTCTTAAAAAACACTTAACTTGATCTTATTGCTCAACAATAAAAACATGAGGAAAAATATTGTTTCCCTCAAAAATACAACATCTTTAAAGAATCATTTTCATAATTTTCATAACATCCTGTTTCTTGGAACAGGACAATAATTTATCAATTCAGACACTTGAAAGGACTCTTAACATATGGAATTAATATTTTCTGGTAGTCATAAAAAAATCTTTGAATGCGCAGGATGTACCTTGTTCAGGCTATAGCTCTTTTTACTTGTCCTGGTGCCTCAAAATGAGCTGACTCAAGCTTGGAAGACATAGGCAATACTGGCTTCTCCGCATTTACGCCCAGATTATTTGTATCTAAATTTAAACATCTCAGTTAAGTGTCCAGTTTAGAAAACCGGTCTTTGGCTGAACTCAAGGACAGAAAACCCAAGCTGGATCACCTCCCGGATGTCACTCTTCACCACTGGCCAGGACCACATGGAGGAGTAGCGGTGGCCCTGGGGTTCTGCCACCTATGCAAAATTCCATAGAGAAAACAAGTATTGACTGATATCACACAGGCTGACATCACTGAGGCTGGAAATTAGAAAATGTTTGTAATCTCCAGAGAACTAAGGTTTTGAAAGACCCTAATGGCTTCTAAGAAAAAATCCCACTCTTAGATCCCTGTTTATATGGCTTAGAGGAAATTATATGACATGAGTCTCAGACAGTAGAGGATTAGATCTCGTGGCACATCCACTTACTTTTCCTACACTCCTATATGACTAGGGGGTCTTAACTCCATTAATATGTCCGATGTTCTGGAGAGAAACAAGAAAAGTGAAAAAAAGTTCATGAAC